ATGAAATGACATATAGGATGATTTATTGATGCTAAAAACATGTTAACCATTTTTGATGAAAATATAACATGATTATTATATTAATAAGAAGTAAAATGAACAAATAGCATTGCTATGTAATCATCTGAAATAATACGTAGGCTGTTTTTTTTTCAAGCTCCGATGGTCTGTATAAAAAGACAAGTGTAAATAACAAAATGAATTTATTACCAAAAGTTAGGTACAAACATGGTTACTTTTCGACATAATCACCATGAGGATTGAAGCATTTGTCATATCTGTGGATGAGCTTTTCTATCCCCTCTTCATAGAATGTTACCGCCAATTACTTGAGATGTGCCCTAACATTGTTTTGAAGAATGTCATTAGTCTTGAACCTCTCCCTCCTAGCCACTTTTTCTGTTCAGGAAAGAAGTGGAAGTCACTCAGCGCTAAATTGGGCTATATGCTAGGTATTTAAAGGTGGTGAAGACTTCCACCCAGCTTGGAACTTTTTAATGTGTGAAGACTTCCACCTCTTTCCTGAACTGAAAACATGGCTAGCAGGGAAGAGGTTTGAGACTAATGATGATCTTCAAAACAATGTTGTTAAGGCCATCTCAATTCACTGGCAGCAACATTCTATGACAAGGGGATGGAAAAGCTCATCCACAGATATAATAAATGCCTCAATCTTCATAGTGATTATGTCGAAAAGTAACCATGTTTGTACCTAACTTTTGGTAATAAATTCATTTCGTTATTTACACTTGTCTTTGTTTTATGGACCATCAAAATTTGAAAAAAAAAAACGCCCTCATACTTTAAATTAAATTCAATGCTCTCTAACTCTTTGATTCAAATTCTTTTTCAAACTCTGACTCAAGATTCTATTCTATTTCTTATCTTGAATCCAATTGCAAGATTAAATTTTAAAACAGACTTTATGCTTCCTGCAGAACATTCCAAAACATACAATTGTTTCATGTTTTCTCTTGCTTTACTGGTTTACTAGGATTACTCGAACTGGATTCACTTGACTGACACTTGAAATGTTGATTCCTATGGAGAACTGGGAACAATCTTTAGCAATATTAAAGGGAGTTACAATAAAAACATATCCATTGTGTGAATGCTTATGCTCCTCTGTATTTTTTAGTTAGGGGTGACCTAGGTCATCTTAGATCATTTAAGATTTGGATGATCTGACTGTCAGTTTGTCTCTTTGAATTTCTCAGTGAACCTGGCTAGCATTAATAGAGGTAGTAATCTATCTTCTTCTTGTTGGAGGATATATTCTCTTATCACTGGGTCAAGCTTCTGAAAGCAATTCATTATAATGTGATCCACTAATGTTTCAAAAATAGAGTCACTTTCTTATTTTCTGTATAAAATCCAAATAGATCTTGTAATCTATTTACAAACTATCATCATATTTCATTAGGCAATTTTTCTATTTTCATGAATTATTATCAATATTCTGCAAGTTTTCCTTATATATATTCCGTATATCCTCAATTTTTTCTGTACAACTAACTTCATTTGGGCATAGTTATTTGTCAACCTTTCCATATAGCAGATCAACATTATTAAATATATATGTATAGAAAATCTGTGTACAGTATATACATAATCTTTCATAATATATATGAAAAGGTTTAAACAATATCCAACATCATTTTCCGCAATTGGAGAAACTAGCAAAATTCATTATGGTAACACAATATTTTTCCTTTTTAAATTAAAATAACATAAAACTAAAAAAAAAGTGTCATTGTTGAGTAAACACTCAACAATGACACCTTTTTTTTAACTCTTTCCACCCTGTGGACACAAAGACTTTATAGCAAGCCCATAATTGGTTTGCTAAAAAGAACAGGCCTGGGTTGTGAGGGATGGAACCCTAGTAAAATTCCTGGGGTTTTTTTGACTCATCAGGATTTGATTCCAGTCTCCCAGCTGCAGCCTTTGCACTTGGCCACCCAACTACTTTGTATAAAAGTGTTCATAAATGAACATAAAAAGATGTTTCACTGTTATTAAAATTAATAAATTCTAAAAATTTTTCCATTTAAAAAATCTTTAAGAACCACAAGTGACGTTCACTCTTTAATTCCGACTTCGATAGAGTTCAAAAACAGAGAAAAACCAGAAAATTATTTTCACTATTTCTTACTTTATCCATTATTTTATCCATATATATTTCGCTATTTCAGCCTCTTCATTGGATCCAATTAGTGTAGAATCCAATTAGTTCAGCCAGTAAGAAATAGTGAAAATAATTTTCTGGTTTTTCTCTGTTTTTGAACTCTATCGAAGTCAAAATTAAAGAGTGAACGTCACTTGTGGTTCTTAAAGATTTTTTAAACGGAAAAATTTTTAGAATTTATTAATTTTAATATTTGTTTACACCGATCCCATTGTTTTATTATTTATTTAACATTATGTTAATTTAAGCGTACAGAAACGTTGCTGTTGTTCCAGCAAAAATCTTATTTTCACTTTACCGAGTGCCTAGTAGNCGCAAAAACCAATTGCTACGTAATTCAAAGTGTCACCAATCTTTAGATTGCACTAATAAGTAAGTACAATTTTATCATATGTTTTGCAAATTCATTTCCCTAATTGTAGTAATATTTTAAACCGTTTGATTTTTCTATTAAAGTTTTTTTAATTGATTGATGATTGTTTGATTGTATTAACTTGAAAAATTGAATTATGACTATTTACAAAAAATTTTTTTAATTTTTCAAATCTATCTTTCATCCTTTTAACACACCACAGAAGTAACAGTATATTGGCCTGGATGAACTTCCACAGAACACGTGATAAATTATAACAAAAAGACACACAAAGTTAAAAACGATCGAAACGCCGACCTTTTATTTGAGGATTCGGAGTCCTTAAACATTAAAAACAATGGTTACAATTTCTGACCATAACTACCATGTTCTTTAGCACAATGTATAACTGGTTCAGGCCCTCTGGTGGTGATTTTGGGTAATCATAAAGTTCATTTGCATAACATGTTGTACATGATGACATGAACAACCCAGGATATTTTCAATTAAAAATTGAATAATGACTATTTACAAAAAAACTTTTAAATTTTGACTTGATTCTTTAGATATTGAAAATTAAATAAACAACATTNGGTAAAAAGTTAAAAAAAAAATATATTATTTAAAAATCTCATTTATTTTTATAAAATTATTTTATGCTTATTTTAACTTGGCCACGTCTAAATATCGATCCTTAAAAATATTTCCCTATTTTATAGAATCGAAGGGTAGAAACGGAGAAGTTTCAAATATTCAATGTATAGAGCGGCAATTAAACTTTGACTTAATCTGTGGAATTCGAGTTAGCCTCATTTAGGGGATTTGAGTAATAAAATTGGGGGTTTTGGGGTATTTTCTTGACTCTTATTTTCTTATCACCAGAGGTCGCCACCGGCCAATGTGACGTATCAACCTGTCAGCTTATAGATTCCGAGCTAAGGCGACATAGTATGATTGTACAGTGAGTTGCAGAGGAGAGTAGTAAGCAGTGCTAAGGTCGTCTACCAAACACTCCAATGGGTTGTGAATGAGAAAGATGCCAGTAGATACCCCGTCTACCTCAAAGCCACCACGCGTATAGGAAAAGAAAAAAAATTAAGTGTACAGGAGTGCTTATAGTGTTTGTGCATGAATGAAATGGAAGGTTTCGAAGGATCACACGATACGCATACTAGGCCGAGCACGTGGCCTTCACCGGGGTCGGAGAACAGTCCGTCAGATAGGGACAGTGTCCTCAAAGGCCAAACACCTTACGCCAAGAAGACCAACTCCAGAAGAAACGCGTGGGGTAACATGTCTTACGCCGATCTCATCACAGAAGCTATACACGGCTCTGCCGAAAAACGTTTGACCCTATCGCAAATATACGACTGGATGGTCAAAAATGTGCCCTACTTCAAAGATAAAGGAGATAATAATAGTTCTGCCGGATGGAAGGTAAATATGCCACTTTAATTAATGCCTTATTCTTCGCTATCATCCGTTACGCTCTTCCCTATTCTCTATAACATATATTTACTCGTCTATATAAATATATATTTTCTTCTTTTCCCTACAAATGCTTCACTTGTAGATATAGATCTTCAGATAGCACATGTATAAATTAAAACTACCTAATAGTAGTAATTCTTTAAAAAAATGTGATATTTCTATTGTTTAATTAATTATGTTCTGCCTCAAACATGGAGTAACAAAATAATGTGTTTCTTTAAATGTTAACAGTTTAAAACAAGCAAATAAATTCAAAATTTTTTAAAAAATATTTCAATATCAAGAGTAAAAGATGGTTGTGTGGGTATTACAGAATAGAGAATCTACATTTATGATAGTAACCAAGCAAACATTGTTCTATTATGATATGTAACTGGCATTCAATACATGGCATTGTCATCTTTACATTGAAAGCTGACATTTATATTCATTCTGATTATGTACAGTGCTTATTATTCTTATGCTGGTTTGTCTGTATTCTTATCATTTTGCATCTTCCTCTCAGTGACAAAAAAGTTCAAAAAATAACACATCAGTTTTTCACTATACAAAATCCATCTCTGTACAGTGAAATGTTGTTTCAAGTCAAACTTACCAAGTAAGCTATGTCAATGCTGACATTGCTGAACATGTATGTACTTTTTACTATTTTATTGATATTTTGTAGGTAAATATGAGATTTCCCTTCCATTAACCAAAATACAACTTTTAACTATATGACAAAATTTCAAACTAAAATTTTTTATTTAAAAATCAGAAAGCTAACAATCATGAGAATATGAGGAAACAAAAGTGATGACTTCTAAGTTACTTAAATAGGAATAGTTTGCAGGTATACAAGTCCCAACTCTAGAGAAAAGTGAAGGAATATCATCATTTAACTCCTGAGAAAATACTGTTAATATATATTAATAAAAATTGTTGGAAATTTTTAGTCATCAAAAATACTGGTAATTTATTAACTTTTCAGAGCAAGAAAAAAAAAGTCAACTTTTTAATATCTAAAATGTAATTTTAAAAATTTCAAAGAAATTTTCACTATCATAACAAATTAAATCTTTTGTATGTTAATTGAATTACACACTTACAAATATAATTACATAAAAACGGTTCAACAGATTTTAATTATACTCAAATATAATCTTAATATATTTTTCAAGAATAAAAAGAAATAAAATCTACTTCTCTAGTACCAATACTTTCAAATGTTTAATAAGCGTAAGTATATAATATATGTTAACCTTGTATGAGCAGTAACATTTATTGTATCTATTTCCATAGGTACTTGACTTTCAACATTAGCTGTTGCAACAACAGCAGATGGTGATGCAGGAAAATCAACAGATGATTCTGTTCTCTGCTGTGGCTGTATCACATATGGTAATTCTTGACGACAGATATCAACTTCCATCTGAAAATATAAATTTAAATCTTAAAATGGATATTTGCAAATTTCTATAAAGCTATTTAAATCAACAGTCTTTGTTATGAATTTTTGATTTTACAAATTATAATTAACAAATGTTATTTTTCAACGAAAAAAACATTTTTGCTTTTAAAACATAGCTATTAATCACACATGTATTTAAAAGAAAAAACACTGATTTATATCAAGGAGAGATTAACATTCATTTAAGTTATAACTGTAGAACCCTAATGTAATAAATGTGTGAGAGATTCAGCACTATGCTGGTATTATGTTGAAATCTTAAAAATAAAATTGAAGAGCTTATATTTTAAAAATATTTTATTACTTTCATGTTTAAGAATATTTAGATAAAACTATAAATAATATATTTTATTTGTTCAGTACAGCAAAATATGAAAATGTTACTCAACTAATTAAAATCATTCACCATTTTCAAAATTCAAAAATAAATGAATTTAATGAATGAAATTAAATAAGTATGGTAATATATTGTGTTTCCTGTCTTTAATATTTAGAATAATTTAGAAAGAAAATTAGAACCCACCCATCAATAGAAACAATTTTAAAGAAAAACGTTTTTCAAGAACTGAGAGGAGAATTCTCACTAAAGAAAATTTAAACTGATATTCTTTATATTCATATTCAAACAAATCAGTGCCCATCTCATATCCAATTCTAAAATTTTAACAAAAGTATTGCTAAATTAAAATGCAAATTAATTCATAAAAGAAAAACAGATGTAATAAATATAATATTTGATGTGAAAAGAACAGATGTGAACACATTTAACCCTTCGATGAACATGCCCGCGGCAAATTGCAGCAAAATAAAAATAAAGTCTTTTGTTTGACGTTGTGTTTAATTATTGTGGGAGTAAGTAATAGTATTCTCTCCTCATATTACAAGTTACAAGTTCTTTGTGAAATCGGGTCAGTTATACTAACAGTTTATCTGTTGCTGGACTTTGAATTGAGTTGTATATCATTTGCATTGTTATTGCCGCTATGCGCCCTGCCATGTAAGTAAAATATCAGTTTACTTTTATATTTATTTTTTTTAATATTTTTAACCTTTATATTACCGGGGTCCCAAACTGCGTCCCCCCTTTTTAATAACGATGGACGGGGGTATTGATTCGTCGTTACCCTGGTAAAAATCGATTTTAATGAAAATTTTTGGCAACAGATGCCACCACTTGACAATAGTGTGTTGTTTACCATCTGTTTCACATATTTGTGTCCAGGTTGCGTTTTGTCGACTCAAAAATTTTCATTTAGCGATTTTTTTTCTTAATTTAAATATTTTTCATTTATTTTATAGCATATTTACATAATAATATTACTAAAATACGTTTATTTATGCTATAATAAGTTTATATAGTTATAATAAGTCAATGTATGATAAATATTTAAATTGTGACCTTCAATTTTAATATTTTATATATTTTTTTATTTTTTATTTTAATAAAAAACATTAGCACATAGTAAATGTATTACTACTGGTTCATATATTTATCACAATAATTTAAATTATTGTTCAAAATAAAATGAATAAAGAATATTAGTTCGTAATATTCATCAATAGCAAAATAAAGGTTAGATTCCAAACAAAGGATATATTATAATCTGTGATAATTTTAAAACTAAAAATCGTACATTCATAAATGTTATATAGAATTGTACAGAACAATATTTCAAGTCCTTCTGGCTTAGTGCCAAGAACAAACTACTTAACTGGAGTATGTGAATTTTAAAAAATGTTGCAAATTTTCACAGACAGATGTCAGGTCTGATATATTTTAATTTTTTTTTATTGAAGTTTATATTTCAATGTATTTAAAAATATCGTATATATAACTACAGATATTAATAAATGTAACGTGATTTTTGTCATATGAATATAACGATAACTTGATTTTTGGTGAATTTTTAAAACTTTATGACCTCTTTGACCTATATTGACCTTCGAAATTTTACAACCTACCTGTAAACACATGGGCGGGGCAAACAGGAGTGTAAAGGTTAATAAAATAAGTCAAAATTTGCAAGTTTATTGAATAAATACATTTAACTAACAATGCCATAAGTTTCTACAAATTTTTAAATTTATATTAGTCTATAAGTGTTCCAATCAGCTTTCATGAAATCTGTATTTTCTTGGTGTTTTTAGGTCTCAAACCTTTGAACCAAGAACAGTTGGAAGGAGCTTTAGAACAAGTATTGGGAGAATTAATCGACAAAAGTGAAGAACCAGAAGAAATTGACTATCACAGTGAAACCGAGACAGAAGAGGAAATTATAGAAGAAAATTCTCATGATAGTGATTCTGAACAATCGGGGAATGAAATAGATAACATTGTCATAGAAGAAAATTGTGAACATGGGCAGACAGAAAAGGACAATTATCGATTTTATATAGGAAAAGATAAGAAAACTTTGTGGATCAGTAAATCTCTATATTCGGGTAAGATAAAAGCAAAAAATATTATGAAAATATTGCCGGGACCAAGACCTACTGCTAAAAGTACAAATAAAGATATAGATGCATTTCATTTGTTTATTACTTATCAAATGATTGAAGGAATTGTAACAGATACTAACAGATATATCCAGAAAAAAGGGCTGACATCAATTATGCAAGAGATACAGACTGCAGAGATACATCCAAAGCAGAAATAAAAGAGCTTTTTGGAACATTGTATTTGATTGGTATAAAAAAAGAAAGAAACACTAATTGCTGTGAGCTCTGGTCTTCTGATGGTAGAGGCATAATCCTTTTACGGGGCCTTTTCAGTTATAAACGTTTTCGGTTTTTGTTTCGTGCACTTAGTTTTGACAACATAGAAACCAGGGATGAATGAAAAATAACTGATAAGCTTGCACCAATTTGAGACTTTCACCAAGTTTGTCAACAATTGTATAGGCAGTTTCAATGTGAGTGAGTTTGTGACAATTGACAAAATGCTTCATCCTTTTAGAGCAGGGGTGTCCAACCCGCGGCCCGCATGCGGCCCAAGGCAAGTTTTAATGCGGCCCATGTAAACATGTAAACAAAACGACAAATGTTTAAATTTTTTTATTATTTATTTATTTCAACGGCGTAAACTCAGAAGTTTCACAAAGCCGTAAACCTTCATTTATATTTTATTTTTGAGCGGAAAGGAAATATTTTCAAATATTTGGAGATGTGTGAATGAGGAAAGATTAATAAATAAAGCTGGAGTTATGACTCAAAGGATTATAGACCCAAATTTGGGAAAAGGAGGGAAAGGTGAGAAAGGACAAAAGATAAAAAGTAGTGAGAAAGGGTAAATAGATCTGTTATGCAAATATTGACCCTTAATTTTCCAACCTTTCTCACATCTTTATCTTTTGTCCTTTTTCTCCTTTCCCCCTCATTTGGGCCTATAATCCTTTGAATCACAACTCCAGCTTTATTTAGTATTTCTTCCAACGTTGCAAGATTTGGCTACATTTGCGCCAAATGTGGCTACTTTTTTTTGTTTGACGTAAAAAAATACTCGAAAAAATAAATGAATTTATATACTGTATATTCTAAGTAAAAATTGAAAGTGTCTATAGAAGTAATTTTTAAAAATATCCTTTTTCGTGATAAAGTTTTAATATTTATTATTATAATCTACACATGTTAATCCTTAAATATATTTGTATATTGGGCCACAAGTATATATTATATAAACTTGTGGCCCAAATCTCCTTGACTTCTTCCAATGAGGCCCAGAGAAACAAAAAGGTTGGACACCCCTGTTTTAGAGGATGCTGCAAATTTGTACAATACATTCCTAATAAGCCTGCAGAATACGGCATAAAAATATATGCTCTATGTGATGCTAAAACCTTTTATACTCTTAATTTTGAGATTTATTGTGGAAAGCAAGTGCAAGGGCCCTACGAGAGATCAAACAAGGCCGATGATATAGTAAAGAGATTAGTCGTGCCAAAAAGAAATGTTAGTACAGATAATTACTACAGTAGTTATCCTTTGGCTGTAGATTTATTTAATAAAGGGCTTACCTTTGTAGGAACAATGAAGAAAAACAAACAAAACCAGACAAATAAATTCATGTCTATTTGGTTTACAGTATGATTATTGTATTGCTTCAATAATTCCAAAGAAAAATAAAGCTGTAATCTTTCTTTCGACCATGCATGACACTACTGAAGTTGATCAGGAAACTAACAAAGCCGTGATAAATTTGGACTACAATGCTACTAAAGGTGGTGTAGACACTGTAGATCAGATGTGTTCATTCTACACTACATCCTGAATTACAAGGAGATGGCCACTAGCTCTCTTATCATCATCTCGACATTGCTGGAATAAATGCTAATATCATATTTAAATTTAATAATCCCGATAACAAAGACAGAAGACGAAATCTTATTAAAAAAACTTGCCCTAAGTCTAATGAAAGAACATTTGAAAGAAAGATCTATGATGCTGACACTTCCTAAAGACATTCGTGCACTTTAAAAAAAAAAAAATGAAACGACAAACCAGTCAAAAAAGTAGCAAAACCTGGAATTTGTTTTATTTGTGGCAAACACAAAAACAATAGAACAAAATCGATTTGTCAGGAATGCGGAGAAAATGTTTGCAAAAAGCATAGTAATACAGTACAGTCCCGAAAACTCGGCACTCGATAACCCGGAAGTCCGGATAACTCGGCTACATCCTGGCAGGGCAAAAAAATCCTTAGTTAATTAATTTTCATTATAGACAGCTTTATGCCTCAAAGTATTTTGCTGAGGTCTGTCTTATCAGGTAAATTATTGTACACTGTGTATTCATTAATTTTCATTTTCATGTAGTAAAGGCTCTATGCCTTCATAAAGTACGTACTTTTCCTTTAAGGGTATTTGGGCAGTTTATTCTCTGTTGTATTCTCAAGCAAACAATACATAAAAGTACAGCACAGTATTTTCTGAGGAAACACTAATACTTATTTTTTTAACCCCATTTCCAATAACCCGGCATTTTCACAAACTCTGCCATCCTTCAGTCCACATTAGGCCAAGTTTTCGAGACTCTACTGAATAGTTATTGTGTGCGGCATGTGTGAAGGTGAACATCACATGGAAATAGAGTGACTTCTTTTTATTATCTAAATATTTTATAACCAATTTGTTTATTAAATTGTCGTAAAATTAGTTTTCTGGTATATCTAAATCATATTTTCAAAACAATAATTAATTATTGACTTAAATCAAGTAATATTACATATGCAGTGTAATTGCTGCAAAATGCCCTCTCATGAGCTTCTGAAAAGCACGTTCACCAAAAGGTTAAAATAGAATACACAAAATTTTTTAAAGTATATTTTAACTTAAACTTAGGAACTTGTTAATTGTAATAACATTAAACAAATGATAACAATATCCATGATTACAATAATCGAAGTTTAATGTATCTGTAATAAATAACATAAGCTAACTTGATTAATACAGCAAAACCCCGCTTAACGCGGGGATGCGTTCCTAGACGACAAAGCGCTAAACAAAACAGCGTTAAATAAGGTCATTTTAGCATAGAGTAAATATGGATAGAAGAACATGCAACCAAAAATAAAAAAATTGTACTTTAAGTTATTTCTATATTAATTTGTATAATAATATATGTTAATTAGTTCATTTTTTTCTATTATTAATAGTTCATTTTTTGTGATGAAGGTCCTGACTTTTCTGAAATTCTTGTTTTTTCAATAAAGTTACGAAGATTCATTTATCGCTTTTTTCTTTCCTTAAGCAAATGTTGGTAGCAGAAGATCACATCCAAAATGTATTGTTTTGCTTTCCTTTCAAAATCTAGATCATTTGCTACAATTTGATCAACAATTTTGGTTATTGCTACCAACTTTTACTAAGGCAATCGGTAGAGAAATTTTTTAGGTTCTTCGTTTTCAGAATCTCTATTTTCCAGTTCTACAGGAATTCCATGTTCTGCAGTTCTCAAAGATCGTCATTAATAAGGCTCTCACCAGAAACCTGCTGTAACTCCTCAATATCCTGTTCGTCTACTCTCCTAGTCCTGCTGTATTGATTACGTTGAGTTGAACAAACTCAACCTAATCAATACAGCAGGATTAGGAGTTCTATTGCTCAACGAGAAGAACCTATCAGTGATAGGCTCTTCTCATTGAGGATTCTTGGATATCTTTAGCATTAACTTCTTCCACACATCATTCATGCATTTATCAGTTAATTCTTGCCAAGCGAAGTCGATACTGCTTATGGAAACCATGCAAAACTGCACGAAACATACATAGATTTAAAGAAAGTACACCTTTTTCTGATTGGTTCTTGTTCGTAAATAATCGTATTATGTACAAATTAATAAAATGCCGCAATAATTTAATAAGTTTTGGGCTTTTTTTAAGGGTTTGAGCAAATGGCATTATAGCGAATCAGCATTAAGCGTGGTCTTACTGTATTAGGAAATAACACCATGAATATATTAAGTGGTTGGTTTATTTCAGGATAAAAGCTATGTTATATAAGAATTTTCAATTATATTCTTTGAAATATACATATTTATAAATTTATTATATACTCCACTATGTAAGACTTATGAAATTCCACCAAATATGAAATGAAATTTTAAGTTATTTTCCAAGTAACTAACTACAATTATCACAAGTAAATTTCTTTTACCTGCTGAGTGTGTCACTAAATTTTGTAAAAAATTCCCTTAAAAAAATAACTGTCATAATGACACTTGGAGAAGTTAAAAGTATATAAAGTAACCAAGGAGGAGTGCTTTAACATAGTGAATGCAGATTCTTTATCTTTTGTTTGGAAAGCATTTTATGAAAATCACAAAAAAAGATTATTGTAAAAACTTGAGTGAACTACTACATAATGTGTCTATAAAATTATGTATAATATATAAGATTTATTTTTATATATTTCTATATTTTATAAATTTGAAATATATTTAAATTTTGTATTTCAAATGTAAAATGATTTATAAAAAACTTTCTAAATGGAACAGTGATAACAGACCTGAGGCAGGACAGTCAAATTGTTTGAAAATGTTTGTCTTTTCTACTAATAAACTACTGGAAAAAACAAAAGTTAGCAGATTGATATACATAATAGTATTTAAAATTTTTCAGATATTTTTTCCTTTCTCTTAGTTTTTAAATTTATTTCATACTTTTTCAACAATTTGTTCTGAAAAACATTTCTTCATTTAACTTTTTAAATGTATTATTTTTTAGTATGTTTCAGTATATTTCTACACAAACAATTTACCAATCACACATCATATCTATCTTTCCAGATGATGGAAATTTCTATTACCAGTATAAAAATAGAGGATAGAATAAAATCTTATAAGTAAAAACTTGATTTTTAAGTATAAAAGTGATTTTATAAACAAAAACTTACTTCTAGTCTTTGAATAAAACTGGCAAGACCACCATGAGATTGAAATGCTTGCATATCTAAATTAGTTATTAAATCTATCACTCGAACTGCTCTAGTTACAAACTGAAAAAATAAAAATTTTAAGTAACTATTCATAACTATTACTTAATTCATATTGTTAACACTTACTGTTATATGTTCAGGTTCTGTTCCATGCCAGTTTATAACTTTTAATAAGGCTTCCATCATTCCACAAGAAACTAAAGCTTCTCCACCTAATAAAATTTTAAGAATTATAAAATACTATCATTTAAATATATCAAAACTTAAATATAAGTTTTATCATATCAGTAGTGGTAAAAAAATATATTAAACTTAAAATCTTTGTTTACATCATTCTGTAAAATATAAGTTTAATATTTGTATAATTTAATATTTCTTAAAAGAACATTAGTTTTTGGCAGGACTAATGATCCATAAGTCTAACAATTTGCCCTAATCTATATTGTATAGTGCTGCTCCAACTATGTATAGTGTGTATCCAAAACTATTCATTAAAATTTAAGTCAAAATGAGATAACCAAGGTTTTCTAATTTTAGATACAAAAAAAAAATCACAAATTCTTCAATAGTTAATAGTCATAGTGCTCACTGTGATCATGTGCTATGTAAGAGAACAGTAATGCAAGCATTTAAAAAATTTCAGTGCTTTGATAACTCCCAAAATTTGTTAGTAATCATATGTAATATGCACATTAATGCAATGAATAATGATCAGAACTGTTAGTTTTTCACATGATTGCATATATAAGGCATTGATTTTTTGCTGATTTTTCAAATTTCTTACCATTCCTTGAATACAACAATTCCAAAAATCACAACATGAATCAGAATACATGAACAGTCATCAGAATACATGTCAAATTTCAATATCATAAGTTGTTTAGTTTACAGCATAGTGTTGTTTAAAGAATAATATCCTTGGCCACTTCACAGTGTCCTTCAAATTTTAGCATGGGCTAATGTGAAATAAGTTCAGCTGAAAATAAGTGACAAGAGGGCTGAAGTGTTTATCAAAAGGTCCGCAAAATGTTTTTGTATTTTTCAAAATAAAGCCATGAGAACAAACATTTAAAGGTTATATTAGACGAGACAAGCTTTCAAAGTAATAGCAACTTGTGGACTTCCACATCATTACATCACACATAGGCAAAACAACCATGACCACATCTTGTAGCAATTGTGTAAGCCCTCCATGACATTATTTTTGAAGACAATATGTAACCAATAATGACACTAAGGCCTCTTGTGCATGCAATCATGTGACAAACAATAACTGTCACATACATAAGTTGGAAATTTTTCACAACCGTTTTTTGTGGACCTAAGATAATCAAAAAACTTTTTCAAATTTTTATATAGATGAAGATATCAAGAAAGTACAACTAAATCAGTCAATTTGGTGAAAAATGTCCACAAAAAACTAATAGGTGTAAAAAATTTCTGCTATTACAGATGATTGTAAGTCATAGTGTCAAATTTTGCCCTAGGAAATGAATTTTAGTTTTGTATTCCATACTCATTTCTGTTATGTACTGTTTATCAAAATTTAAATAATTGTTTCTTTTAATAAAACAAACCAACTGAATTATGTTATTTCCTTTCAAAGAATTCATTTTGGGCACTTTTTTTGCTATTATTCATGCCCTTTTCAAAATTCTTTTTAGCAACTTCCATTTTTTGCATCACATTCAGTTTTTAAACATGATTTTTCCTCTTCTTTTTTTACAAAAGTGAAAAAAACAGCCTTAATTGAAAGTTACAACATTCTTTTAAAAATTGTTAAAACACCTTACAATATTTAAATATACCACTTACGATCTTTCTGATAACCACATTCACTATAGTTTTTTCTTTTATTCTATAAACAACACAATTTTGTATTACATCTGAAAAAAATAATGTCTCAAACCAACTTGCACTATATTAAATGTTTAAATATCTAAAAAAACGTTCATTTGTTAACCTTTATAAGAAAAAAAAAACAAATGTTTAAAACAAATACACTGAATATGACAAAAAACTGAAATTAGTAAAAATAACTTGTAAAATAGACTGGGCAAAGGAAAATAAGTGCCAAAAATGCAATTTCTAATATAAAATAACAATTTAGTTGATGTGTGGCTTTCTTGAAAGAAACTGTCTTATAAGGTTTATTGAACAGGCTAAATTTTAAAGTAATATTTTTTCCTGAAAATCATTCTATGACAGTAAGTATATCAAATTTGGTTAAGATTATCAAATACTTCTTTCTAGGGAGAGCTCCGATACATTCTTTAACATTGATCATATTAGTTATTTTAAATTAAAACTTTTTATTTTTAATCAGTTTAATGTTCTTCTCAGTTTTTTCCAAAAATAGTCTGATAAATAATAAAAGTATAATTCAGAATTTTAAATAATAATAATTTAGATTTTAAATGTGTCAGTATAGTTTTAGAAACTTAAAAATTTTGTGAATATATATAATGACTAAAATGGAAAAGCAAACTGTAAATTAATTCTTTCTAGTTCTTTTAATAAATGTATTTATACACTAGTTTTGTCATTTTAAAATTTGAGTAGGAAGATTTTATCTTTAAATTAAGTCTTTTACATGTAAAACACAAACAAAAATTTGAAAGATTGTAACCATTTTCCATTGGAATTCATAGTTTTAAGTGAATGATTTATCATCTTATGGAAAAAACTTAATAAAATGGCAAACAAACACTTCAGTCAATATCTTCATAGCTTACACAAACATAAATGAAATAATTACCACTTTCATAACTTGCTAGATGATAAAGAAAAGAAAATAGAGCTGTTGCAAAAGGAAGAGCAAATGGTTCAGCATCTGGTTCTGTAAAAACAATTATTCACATTTATAGTCTTCAATCATTGAAAATATTTTTAAATCTATCAAATTCATTTAAAAGTTTGTTTTTGTAAGGCATACAAAAAATAAATTGCTAAGCTGAGAAAACCAATAGATTTATTTGAAAAGTAATGTTTTTGAACATATTTGATCCATCAACAGCTCTTCATGCAGAATGTAGAACTAATGATGTATCAAATAGGTTCAAAAACATTACTTTTCAAATAAATCTACTGGTTTTCTGAACTTAGTTTGTTTATTGAATTTTGAACATGGTGCCATATTCTTAGAATTCTGAATATGGTGCTTAGATATTTTTAGATTATTCTTAGACATTTATATTTTAAATGGCCAGATGAGATATTTACTTCAAATATTTCAAATTGTTTTGTTAGTCTTAATAAAAGAAATATATATAATTATAAACTCTGTAAATCTTTGACAATATTAATAAAAATATAAAATTTAACATACCAGTAAGTGCATGGATACAGCTCCTAACTAATACTGGCAAAAATCCATGATAATAAGCAGCACCAGTGGCATCAATAATTGCAGTTATCCTGAAATTAATTTTTTTTCTACCAATGACATTGCAGTCCCATTCATTGAACATTTGAATTTTTTTAAATATTTTTTTAATCACATACTTAAATATATTTCAAATAGTAAATTATATATATTAAATATTAAACAATACATATACACTAACCAAACACACACATACAATAAAACATTCTTTACAGAATTAATCATAATTTCTTTATATATAAACATTGAAATATTAATTGATCTCAAAATCTTAACTAAAGATTTGAATATGTAGTGCCATTTAAACAACATTAACTAGTTATATCTTAAGCAAGCAGACCTTTTACTTACTTAAGCTCTTAAGATTTAATCTATAAATATTTTTAATTCTCTAAACTAGACTTTTGAATTAATATAACATTTTTTCACAACAACTGAACTTAAAAATTTAAAACATTCATGTTTGTATTACAAATTTGACCAAAAAAAAAAAATGCAACTCAAATATCATTTATACAATCATCAATATGGACTATAATTGCTTGAACTAAATAGAAGAAAATTTTCGCAAAATTTTACAAAAGAAAGTTATGAGAAAATAATGTTCACTAGAGCAAACTTATTTTTCTATGAACATATCCTTTATTATAATTATATCAAGGAAATTTGAATATCAACTGCAAAGTGAATGTTAGCCAAGTTGACTAACTTTTCACTTGATACTCANAAACGAACCCATATTTACAGTGAGGTATAGGATTAGGTTCTACATAAGTGAAAAATAAGCAAATAATTTTGTTTATTAATACAATATAATACAAAATACATAAAATACATTTTAAAAATTAAAAATTTATATCATAAAATAAAGTGAAATGTTTTTATTTAAAAATTTTAGTTTCGGATCTCTTACATTTTTCAGAAAAAAGTATCCATCTTTAATTGTTTACATTTTTGTTTTCTTTCATTGAGAATTTCGGAATATGGTCGAATGGATGCGATGATGCTTCTTTTTACATTTGCACTTCGCTCCCAATTATTGTCTAACTCACAAAGTTCATCCGTCAAACTTTCCATAGTTGAAAGGATATGTTAACCCAACGTAGAGCTACGAACGAGCAGAGACACTGATTGGTTGACCACCAGTTGCCATAGCGCATGTATAAGGCGAGTTTGAGCGGGAAAATTGAAGGTGGCTAAGGAGAGATAGATATTGTCTGGCTAATAAAAAAGTATCGTCTGGCCAAAGAGAAGTAGATTTGTCTCACTAATGATAGTTTGTGATCGCCGGAAGTGCTACTGCATTGTAAGGTGTTTTCCTGAACGAACTGATACGGGATACATTCATTGGTGCTATGGATTCGGACGCCATTTATTGGACTATTAAGTTTGATAACTTGACTCGTGGGTACTTAAACATTTAGTATTTTAATATTAATTTAATGCAAATGTATACATATCCAATAATATTAAACAGAAAAACTAAATATATTCAATAAAAATCTTTATTTTAACAAATGTACAATGTCGCAGATCAGTAAATACATCAACACTGAAATGGAAATCAGTCTGGCATAGGGAAAATCGAGGAATTACACCATGAAACGGCAAATTGCGTGGCGGCGTAAATTGAGCCGACGTAAACCAAGGGCTACCTGTACTTTAAATTTCAATTTTTAAACTTTTTATCTGAACTTACCTGATCAACATTTTCTACATGAATGCAACACATGGTATTTGGAAGATGCCTTTTTACAGATTTTTCATCAGCATTTTCTAAATAGAATTCAAAGTGTAGCGTTGTTGCACTGGATGGAAAATGCTAAAAGAATATTTTATTGTAAATTGAAAAAATAAAATTTTGAAATTAAATTACATAATTATAAAATTTAGAATGAAACTAACTTGTACAAAATTATTGTATTTTTAAAATTTCTTGTACATTAAAACTAAAAACTTTTTTCATAACCAATGATATTTATAACAAGATCACATTATTAGATTTACAGTTGAATGTTTTCAAGACTCAATGAATTTAGATTAAAAAAATAATTTATTCCTTAAGATAAAAATTTTGTAAATTATTGAAATATTACATTACAAAAAACAACAAATATTCTGATTTTGATGTGTTTTGATGTTTACTAATGTTAACTTTTATTAACAAACAATAAAACTGTAACTAAATCAAAACTTACACTGATGGGAAGGTTTTGACAGCACTCAGCAAGACCAAAACCATTTTCTTTGCCTCCCCAACTCTGAAAAACATTAGTTGATTATAATTTAATTATTATAATGTTAAAGCATACAGAAAAATAAATTCTTGTTTTCAATCAAACCTAAAATTAAATTCTAAATTATAGGATATATGTATTATTAAAAATCTCCTCAGTAATAACTCTAAATTAAACAAAATAAAGAAAAATTTTACATCACTAAATAATCTAATTAACAAAAACTAATACAAAATTAGAAAAGCAAATACAACATAAGAGGAACAAGTACATAAGTTTCAGGCAATTCTTTATTTATAAATAAGAAGATAAAAAAATGATAATTTATAAAAATTATAAAATTTATTAATTGCTATATAAAATAATAAAATCCAAGAGTTGCGACATTTGAAATAATGTCCAAAAAATTAATTGTTCTCACTGAGATGTTTTGATTAAGTATTAAGTAGTACAAATCATCTATCATCATATTTTTACAACTACATTTTTAAAGTAGAATTAAGGAAACAATAAAACTCTTGTTTTATTATTGTTTCCCTAATTCATATATAGTAAATCCTATATGTATATATAACATTCTTAATATATAATCCTATATATAAAAAATTATTTTTTTTTCTAGGCAGATAATTGCTCATGCTGGCTTTTCTTCTTCAAAATGAAAAAAAAAGTGTAACAAAATTGGATATTTTAAATAACATCATTTTTAAATATAGTTCGAGAATATCCAATTTCATTATACCATTTTTTCATTCCTAAAAAAATTATTACTAGTATATTGTATAAAAATTTTTAATTAAAATAAAAATCAAGGAATTATAAAAATTCATTAACAGAATTCTACTTTCAATTAAATATATTATATTATAGACATTTGCATATTTGCATATAGATTTATATTAGACATTTGCAAAATTAAAATTTATATTATAAATTTTAATTTTGCAAATGTCTAATATAAATCAATATGCAAAATTCAAACACAGTAGAACCTTGTTTTGTGGCATCTCAGTTACATGGTTACCCTGAAATTTTCTTGTAAAATGCATAAAGTTTAATATAAATCAAATTCCATATTGGTGTCATCTCATTTAAACAGCAAAGACAGGCGTGTCCTGAAGTGACATTTATCACCACTAAAATTCCCAACAGGAAAATCCTGCATTCCTAAACTTAACATATTGTTTGAGTTTTAAATGGAATTAAACTTCTTTGTATTATTTTTTAAACCTCAACAAATTAAATTTATATCTGGAATTTAGTAAACAAGACAAATATTTATTCAATAATTTTATACAAAAATTTGATTGTATTTTGTAAAAATATAAACATGTAGGTCACTTGTAACACTCATAAGAAAAATACTATGAACTTGAAGTAAAAGCAAGTTTAGTTATTAACACTTTTTTTGACATTTGTAATCTGTACATTTAGTGAATTCTGTTTAATAACTTCTGAATTCTCCTCATAAAATACAATATTTAACATAAATAAAATCCTTCTTACCACTTCATTCAGTATATGGGTACTAAACAATTCCATTTAGTACTGTGATGTACAATACTTGAATAAATCCTACTGCAAACAGTTTGCATTCATGGTATATATATATATATATCATGTATATCAATAATCTATTATTCAGTGTTAATACATTACTCTGAATAAAAATTTGAATTAATTTAGATGGCAAAGCATGCTCAGTATTTTATGAATTTTTTATTTCCAGAGTACTTTTATAATCTGTATTAAACTTTTAGCAAAACTCAGTACAATAATTACAATTCTCAACCTTTTTTGCAACTCCACCTAGATGACTACTTCACTTATAATTGTAAATTGTATACTCACTCACATAGCCAGTATACTCCAATTATATACTGGCTATGTAAGTGAAATTTTACTGTATAAAATACAATACAATTGAATATGATTTAATAATTCACTCCCTTTTACAGTATTAATTAAAATTTTAAAAATTTGAATATACCCTTACCACATTGCTTTATTAAATTATTAACAACTTACCTCTGCTAAATATGTAAGTCTAGTAAGTAAGGCTTGCCTCCTTTCAACATTTAGCCTGGTAATGAAATTTGATCTTTTGCTATAAAATTTATAAAATTACATACATCAATTAATGTGTGTAAAATGTTTTTATACATGTATATTATATAAAAATTTCAATCTTTACTGTTAATTATTCAAATCAATATT